ACGACCTCCCCAAACGCGAGTACAGGGATTGCAAAGTGTCAATCCCTTCGGCTATCTCAGAAGAGATGCGCGCCTTCCAGTAGGAAACATTAGGGAGGTAGGCCTTCCTAGGGGTACGGTTCGAGCTGTCCAGGCAACCTGGACACGAATCACCCCACGAGAGACAGGGTAATCCTGCCTCTATTGACAATCGATGCAACTTGAATTGACACCGACTGGGTTCTCCTCTTAAACCTGATGCGAGCTGCATCAAGTTTACCGAGCCAGGCCTCACAGCCAATTCTCTAAAAGTTATGGATGAAGGCATTTCATCATCGAAGGAAGGCCTTACCGTTTCGGCCAAGGTTGCCATTTGTACCACCGATTTTGAGTGTAAACATCGGTGAAGAACTCTTTCTCAAAACGGATAGTTTTCGTGCTGGAATTAGGAGGACAGGTCCTCGTACAGTTGAACAACGGGATTCGATCCCGTTCGGTGGTCATACCGGCCACTCGATCTATTTATTTGGATATTGGCATTCAAGGAGACTCCACTTGAGGAGCGTGGCGAAGGACATTTCGGTCCCTGGCCTCTTACGTGGTGTCAGCATGAGCACTGACACCACTTCCAGCTCGATCACTTGATTTGCTCCTCTCTTGGTGACGCATAGGTGAGTTACCACCATCACCGCCCAATCTAGTGTCAGATGGACCTGCGTGAGACGAGGATTCATCAGACGAATCGCTCGGTCCGATTATCTTGGACATCATGCCGCCACGTTCCTAAGAGCCATTCAACCTGGCTCTGCCAGTGTCCGACCCGGATGATCCGGAGGCAGGAGGTGCCGCCTTCGAGTTGGATGCATTATCAGACTCTTCAGAATAGATGAGCTCTATTTCAAGCTCATCTACATTGCAAGGCACAGCACCCGCTGCAGACGTAGCGGATGTAACTGTCGCATGTGGTGACTTACCACGTGGACAAGTCGCAACAGGCCCTGCCGTTTGTGTTAACATTAGGTGATGCGACATGTGTGATATGGACATTAGGATGGATTAGTGTGTCCATGGGTCAGAGGTTAGTATCAGTAGTACTACATGTAGACCAAGCTTGCTGTAGCTCAAGTGGTTATGTGTGGAAGCCGTAACATAGAGGTCACTGGTTCGATACCCGGCAGCAAAAGTTAAACCTGGTCCTGGTGTTTGGGGTTCACCAGCACTGTCCTGCCAGACAGTGACGTCCCCCATTTTGTGTGTCAACGGAAAGCTGTGTGCCACATCAGAGATCCCGTTATAGGAACGGAACATGGGAAAGGAACATGGGAAAGGATTTGCTGCATTGATGGGACGGGTAGCATGAAGAATGGATCGGAAGGATGAGTAGCAACGGTAGGAACGAGTTGGCACTCAAAACATAATTCACTTTTGGTTTTGCTACTTCGACCAACAGTCATCTTCACTTCAACGCTCTGCTAACTTTAACAGGTTGTGAGCCCAAGTAACGACTCCACGCCCAAGGTGGCACAGTTTGACGGCACAAACTATCCGTTATGGGCGTTCAAGATGAAGATGTACCTCATCTCCAAGAGGTTATGGGAAGCGGTTAACGCCACATCTGGCGTCTCCGAGGCGAAGGAGCAGCAGGCGCATGCGGCAATCGTGCTCAACTTGAGCGATACTCAGCTCATGCATGTCATTACAACGAGTAGTGCATGCGAAGCATGGGGAGCACTCGCGCGAGTTTATCGGACCCAAGACATGGCAAGTCGGCTGTGGCTAAAGGAGAAGTTTGCGACATTCAAGTTTGCGGCATCGGACATGAGCGCCCACGTTATGGAGCTGGAGCGGCTCGTGCTGGAAATGAATGGAGCTTCGTGTGGACCAAGTGAAGAAGATTCGTGTGCAACGTTGCTGCGAAGTCTCCCGGCGCAATACGAGGGACTGGTGCAGGCTTTTCGCATGAGCGTCACACAATTCAGCTTTAAAGATCTGGTGAGCAAGCTGATCGCCGAGGAAGTGCGCAAGAAGGATTCGACGCGCATTGAAAACGAGACAGCGCTACATGTTGGCAAACGACAGGAGAAGAAAAGCTTTAACAAAACTAGCGGTGGTCCGCGGAAGACAGGGTCAAGTGTTCAGTGCTTTTATTTGTGGTAAGCGCGGACACTACGCGCGAGACTGCAGGAAAAAGAAAGCTGCTAATGGCGAGAGACAAGAAGATCACTCGAATGTGGCGTTCACAGTCACTCAAGGAAATATGAGCGACTGCTGGATCATGGACAGCGACGCAACGGCGCACATGTGCAAGGACAAAGACGCATTTATCGAATATACAGCATCACCGACGACACGCAATGTGAAAAGCGCGAAAAACAGTGCAAGCTTAAAGGTGCTTGACAAGGCACGGTGATCTTGCGTGTTTGGAATGGCACATTGTGGATTAATGCCCGGCTGGAAAATACACTACACGTGCAAGATCTCAACAAGAACCTGTTCTCAGTGACATCAGCTACTGCACGCGGGATGACGGTTGAAATCACCAGCGACGGGTGCACTGTTTTAAAGAGCGGGCGAATCGTCGCGACAGGAAAGCGATGTGGTATGCTTATCAATCTAAATGTCGAAGAAAGTCCACAATGCCATATGGTGGAGGGTGAAGCTGAACTGTGGCACCGCCGACTTGGACACGTGTCATACTCGACTGTGAACAAGCTGATTCACGGAAAGCTGTGTGCCACATCAGAGATCCCGTTATAGGAACGGAACATGGGAAAGGAACATGGGAAAGGATTTGCTGCATTGATGGGACGGGTAGCATGAAGAATGGATCGGAAGGATGAGTAGCAACGGTAGGAACGAGTTGGCACTCAAAACATAATTCACTTTTGGTTTTGCTACTTCGACCAACAGTCATCTTCACTTCAACGCTCTGCTAACTTTAACAGTTTGCTCACTTAAACAGCAGACTAATTAGCACGTGCTGCTGAAGCTTTGAGAAGTGCTCTCTTTGGCTGCACGCATGCGTGCAAGCTCCTTCTAGGCTGCTTCAGCAGCACATGGCATGGATTTCAAAACCATGCAATCAATTGGCAAATGAGTCGGAACTTGACCAACAAGTGCTCCCGTTCCTAAAGTGATCCAACAATGATCACCTTGTCCCCAACAAATGTGATTTTATATACAGGTGAATGATATTGAAAGAGAGGGGGTGATGTAACAGGGTAGCCCTTTACATGATGTTGACACCAAACGGTGTCAACAGGGAGATTATCTAGCGTGACAATCTCCTGCCAATATCATCTGAGATAGGCAATATTGAAGGATCAACCCCCCCTTATGATCTTGTTCACCGGCTGCTCGAAGATTGGTCGATAAAAGATATGTCAACCATAGATTGCCACCAATTGCTGCTAGACGCGCGTAATGAGTGGTGAGCAGGTTGCCGTCATACGACGACGTAGTTTAATACAGTTCGATAAAAGCTGAAGTTAAATTGATAGCTTAACTATATTAAATACAGTTATCTTTTACCTTTACTTGAACGAGTCGTTCAAGTAGATTAGCTTCCTCTGCACGTTTTAGTGTACGTGAAGTTTCGTGGCACCTGGACAAAGGGTGCCATGTTACACTTAATGTATTCCAAAGTCGTGCACATACTCTTTACCTTCAATTGTACAATTGGAGCACCCTTTCTCTCTCGTAACTCGAACACTGAGAATATCGGTACATCCCGCTTGTTGCGAGCCCGAAGGGTGGAGTTTTTATTGACTCTGCGCAAGGTGGATGCCGAGCTTTTTAAATCTTACTTATCTGCGCTTGTCTGCCGGTGTGCAACTAACGCCTGGTGTACCTTTCACGTCAATCTAAGTGCTTCGTAGTCTGTGCCCTCTATTTAGGCATCACGCTTTGATGAGGTCACTAATTTTGTGACTGCAAGGATGTAATGTTTACACTCGCGCATGTTTGGCTTAAAGTGATGAAAAGGGCGGACAGAGTGCTAAGAAGCAAATGCTAGACACTCAGAGGCAGCGAGAAAGTCGCGCATTTCGCAGACAGTAAGTGTGAGTGGTTTTGATCTGAAAACCTTGAAATAGTAAGAGGTCAAGGTCACGGCATTTATCGGTAGCAGTGGAAGATCATTTCCTTTAGTTTCTCTTCAGCACGGAAATTGTAACGGGGCACCCTGAAGCTTGTACTGGTGACAGTACAAGCTACTTATTCTGATAACAGAATAAGGCGGTGCCTCGTAACTTCACGTACACTGGTACGTGCAGAGGAAGACGGTAAGGAGAAGCGAGTACTTGCTTGAAGTAAAAAGTAGAACTGTATTTATCATAGTTAAAGTCTGTTAATAAACCACTGTTTATCCTCATCTAACTATGTCTGAATACAAATGTGTAAATCAGTTATCTGCTCACCACTCATTGCGTGCGTCCGTCGTGGCGCGTCTTCGTTGGTTGATATAATAGCCTATATCAACCAATTAGTAACTACTCGTAAGTGCTGCAGAATATTTGTCCTTACGACAATATTCTGTGAATACAACTCTTATAGTTATATTCTATTAACAATTTCTTACAAATTGTTATGTAACGATTCACCCCGTTACATCAAGGATCCATCACCTTGACCCCTGCGCGAAAAACTATCGCGCTGAGAATGAGTTCTTCATCGATATTTTGTTTAGACATCGATGGTACAGTGGGAATCACAAACGTGATGGTCCCTCACTGCTTCAGGCGTGGAACGCCTACATCCATAACCTTGAGGATGTAGGTCGTGACGCTTCGAACGACAAACTTATCAAAGCTCGTGATAAGTTTGAAAAGCGAACCCCGACAGGTGCACGCTACGAGCTGCATCGTCTGTCAAGGGAAAAAGGATTACCCTGCCTCTCATGGGGAGACTCGTGCTCATGTTGTGTGAACAACTCTGCACGAGCACCTAAGGAGGCTTACCTCCTTACCAGCCCGTGGTGGCGCGTACGTATCTCTATTGAGATGTACGAAGGGATTGACAACATGAAATCCCTTTACGACCGTGCCGGGAAGACTTTCTCCGGCGGTCCTTCTGCGGCACAGGATATGCCGCATCGTACTGCTCGAACAGACCCAGCACGTCAACCATCAGTTGGGAGAGGGGATCCCAAGTATCCCAGGACGGGGGATAGCCGCGCCACCGGACGAGATGACTCGTCCGACGTTCGTTCACGTCGCGGTGGTTCAACAGCTGCTCAACTAGATAGCGCTGGCCACCGCGAGAGTCCTCTAATGGAGGTGGAGGAGGAGGGAAGACGCTCTCCACACGATCATGGGGATCCGTGTGTTCCCGAGAGCTTCTTTGATCGCGTAACGCAAGGGTTACGCGGCGATCTCGAACATGAGCAGGACAGGCGTCTCCAAATGGCGGACACTGTCTCTAAGCATCGAGCCGAGTTTGCCTTGCTCATCTTGAGAACGAGAGAGCTCTGACATCTCTGCGTGACGAGCTAAGGGTAGATCGTGGGGATGTTGACCGGTCTCGGGCTGAGATAACTGCTCTTCAGACACTTGTCGATGCCCACCATCGGGAGCACAAGGCTCTCTGCAAGATGCTTGAGCGCAAGGGCGTTCTTCATCGGGAGGAGCAGCGTACTGATGGTACGGCTTAATCCGACCAACGTAAAACTTGGGATGCGTTCGCATCTTACGTGGCAACTCGATCGTGTATGCGTTGCCTAGGCGGTGCAATACACGAAATGGGCCGATGTACTTGGGTAGTAGTTTACTGCTACCCAAGTAAGTCACTACATGCTTTGGTAGATTAACCGTAGACAGTAGGACTCAGTCACCTTTATTAAATAAAAGAGTGTTTGCCCTTCCATTCTTGTCAGCGTTTTGCTTTTGCTTATCCACCGCTTCGGCGATGGAGTCTTGCACAAAACGGACTACCGTTTCACGAGCCAGTATGAACTCATCTGATGACTCGTTAGCTTCAGTGCGCTGTGAGTGCACTGCAGCAACATCAATCTTTTCTTCAGTGAGGGCTTCCGCACTCTCACTGGCATCATCTTCTTCAATATCGATGTTATCGATATCGGCATCAAACGCAATGACCTCTTCGTCAGAGCGTGATGAGCGTGAACCAATTCGGTTTTTGCTAGCGCGAGTCCCCCCCCCCTTGAACCAGAATTACACTCTAGTAAGGTGGGTACACGCGGATGGCGCAAGCCATTCACGTAAAACGGTGTATGTGTCGTGGACGCATGCACCGAGTTGTTAATGGCAAACTCTACCATTGGCAAAAAATCACTCCAACTCTTAAAGGAGTGTACGTATCCTCGAAGTATCTCTTCGAGGACACGATTGGCACGTTCCGTCTGACCATCTGACTCTGGATGATCAGATGTCGACATCTTCAAGCGCGTTCCGAGTGATTTGAACACGGAACGCCAGAAATCAGCAGTGAAGCGTGGATCTCTGTCTGATACGAGTTCACGGGGCAACCCATAAAGTCGAAAGATGGTGTCAATAAAGACACAAGCACAGCCACTTGCCGTGATTGTCTCTGGTACAGCCACAAGGTGTACCATTTTGCTGAATCTGTCAACAAATACGAGAATACCCGTACTCCCGCGTGCGTCTTTGGGTAACCCGAAGACAAAATCCATTGAGATGGATTCCCAGCACTCAGCCGGAACCGGTAGACTGTAAAGGTGCACGCAGTGAAGGACTTGACTTCACTCGTTGACAGACTTCGCATGCGCGAACATACTTTCGCACAAACTGATACTGGCGGGGCCAGTAAAAGTCTCGACTCACCGTGAGAAATGTTTTCTCCCGGCCACGATGTCCTCCTAGAGGAGCATCTTGATACTCGAACATGATCCGCAAACGCAGATCAGTATCATCTGGAATGACAACACGTGGTGTGTCACCAGAAACGGCTGTATAATACAGTAAACCGTTACGAGTAGTGTATCGATCTGATGCAGATCGATACGCAGGCCATAATCGTTTCAACGATTCTCGAGATGGTTGGGAGAGATGTGTCAACAACTTCACAATCTCACCATCTTGGGCGTAAGCCCGCCTCACATCATCATACAACGTTGTAGATGGGACTGCGGACGTCATAACCGCAACAGTGACTGTCTCACTGTTGGGTTTCGCGACTGTTTCAAAGTCGGGACGACGTGAGAGTGCATCAGCGACGACATTAAGTCGTCCTGGTTTGTACTCGACCGTAAAGTTGTATTCCGCAAAGAATGAAAACCACCGCGCCATTCGTTGTGAAAGGTGCGGGCTGTTCACTGCCGTGCGTAATGACGCATGGTCAGTGTAAACAATGAAGGGGCTATCTCCTATTAGATAGACTCTGAACTTCGCAAGTGCATACTTCATGGCAAAGAGTTCCTTGTCATGCACTGGATAGTTCCGCTCAGCTGGTTGCAGCTGACGCGACTGATAGCAGACGACGCGTTCAACGCCTTCAAGATCGTACTGCATTAATGCACAGCCGATTGCGAAATCGCTGGCATCACAGACCACATGAAATGGCCTGTCCTGATCGGCTATTGCTAGGACTGGGGATTGTAGCAAGCTCTGCTTGATACCATCAAAGGAGCGCTGACATTCAGCGTTCCATAACCACCTCTCGTTCTTTTTCAACAAACGAGAGAGGTGCACAGTCATCTCGGCGTGAATTGCGTGAATACTTGTGCAAATACGCCGCTAGCCCAAGGAATTTTTGAAGACCTTTGACATCAACTGGCACAGGCCAGTCGGTGATCGCCTTGATCTTTCGGGATCAGGACGCACACCGTTCTTACCAACGATGCACCCAAGAAGTGGTGTTTCGCTTGCTGCAAATATACACTTCTTAAGATTTGCATACAATTGATGCTTTTGCATGATTGTAAGAACCTGTTGGACGTGGTGTCTGTGAACCTCAACGTCCGACTTTCCATCCATAGCTCGGCTGTGGATGAATACGTCATCGAAATAACTCGGCGCGAATTCTCGTACTGGTCTCAACAGATGTGATACACATCTGTTGAAAGTGGCAGGGGCATTACTGAGCCCTTGTGGCATCACTAGCCACTCCCAGAGCATGCCGCTAGGCGTGCTAACTGCGGTATAGGGTATATCCCGTTCTCGCATAAGGATTTGATAGAAGCCATCCATCAAATCCATGGACGAAAAGATGGTGCTCTTTGACATACCATCAATGATTACGTCCTTCCTTGGTATCGGCGTCCGAGCCGGTACCGTTGCAGCATTCAACTTGTTAAATGCATGCACTATCCGCCAGCCTCCTGTTGCTTTTCGAACACAGAAGGTCGGAGAGCTATGTGGGGAAGTTGATTCCCTCACATGGCCCGAAGCTAAACGATCGGCAAAGAACTTGTCGATCGCAAGTACTTGTTCACGAGGCAGTGGCCACTGCTTCATGACACAGTACTTCGAGCCTGGTTTAAGCTCGACCTCGTGTCGAATACCTTTATCCTTCGGTAATTGGCACGGAACAGTTTCAGGGAATACATTCTTGAATTCAACCAAATCTTCATAGAGAGGATTTGTCTTGAGCGATTCCCACGATTGGGAGTCATATCGCTCAACTCGTGTCTTTTCATCTAGGACACTCTCGTCCATAGATGAACTACTGAGAACTCTCTCGTTCTCAGTGAACACTGTTGCTGACCTTATGTCGGCTACACACTCGTCGTCAGCGACGAGTACGCAGATCTGCTTGACTTTGCCACTACGCAGATCACGCAAGAACCTTTTATGTTCGAGAGTTGGCAACTGAGTGATCTCCGAAGTCAACTTCGGAGGCGCAATCAGATCGAGTGTATAAGCGCCTACACTTGATCCGTTATTGACTATGACAATCAATGTCTCTGTCGTTTCCTGGGGACTTATTCCCTCAGGCCTCGAAGGACTTATTCCTTCGTCTTCCCGGGGACTTATTCCCGCGGGTTTCGGGGAACTTATTTCCGCCGTATTTTGTAATCTTGGGACTTATTCCCTTAACTTCCTCTAGCTGTGGTTGCGCAACCACAGCGAGATCCTCTACGAAAGACTCTCCAGTCGATCTAGGATTATCGTTTCGCTTAACCTGACGATCGATTGTTTCTCTTCTAGATGTTCCCCGCTAGGGATACATCTTTGTCCCGGTCCACTCGACTTATTCGAGTGGTGGACCTTCGGCGCAGCCTGTGTTTCCTCACAGCCGCCGGAACTTTGCTCCGAAGTGTAACTTTTTGTTACACTAAGGTTTTGTGCAGTCGTACTAACGACCGTACCACAAGTGAGGCCATCGCACTCACTCGTAGTACATCCACACGCTTGTGGACGCTCCAAAACGTTCATCAGGTGGCCATCTTATGAATATGCGGCAGGCATCGTTACTGTTCGATGTTGCCAGTTTACCCGTGGTTCGTACCTTCTGAGCCACGGTATTCCAAGGAAGACATCAAATTTGTCATCCAAATCCAATACGATAAAGTCATCGTCATATTGGATATCTTCTAGCGTATAGTGGTTTTTCACTATACGCTTCATGACAGTTACGGATGCGCCTGTCGCAAGACGTACCGTCATCCTCGTAGGAGGTGTGTCACATTCACTGAATTTAAAGTGACCATCTTCTAGCGATTGGCGTTGCACAAGATTGTTGGACGCCCCACAATCGACTAGAGCTCGAAGGGAAAACTTATTCGTCACTTCGAGTTTCAAGGTAATGAGTGAGACCTCATTACCTAGAGCAGCAACGCACAACGTCTGTGTGTTGGGAGCAACCTGCATCAAGAGGCCCACAAATTCTCTTGACGTTGCTGGACCAGTAGGGTGCTCCGCACCTACTGATCCTGTCCGTTTTTTGACGGTCCATCCCGTTGTTGCGTCTTTGCATTAAAAGCGGACCCGCGTCCCTGCCCCTTTCTCATGGGTGGACGGTCACTACGTCCAGTGTTGAGAGACACTGGACGAGGGGCACTACACTCGTAAGCGTAGTGTCCTGTCTTTTGACATCTATTGCATTTCTGCAAGTTCTTGTAGTCTGTAGAGCGAGCCTTCTCGCTCTCTACATAACAGAGGTCCATCGGCTCTGGACCTCCGCTGTCATATCGTCTTGGTTGACGATACGATGTCGAGCTGGCGCGAGCCTGTCTCAGACTGAAGTCTTCCTGTTCCGCAATGGAAATGGCTTGTTCTAGTGAATCTAGTTCAAGTCGGAACAGGTGAGTCTTGACGGGACCATCCGCAAGACCCTGCATGAACACCGAAACCAACGTGTGTTCATCCACCGGATTGGAACTTATACAACTCGTGAGATGTCGTATATGTTGCGCGTAAGCGTGCACATCACGCTTACCCTGCTTGAGCTTCAAGAGTTCTGTTCGAGCTCTGAACTCAGCTCCAGGCGGTTCAAACGTTTGTCTGATCCGCGACCTGAAGACTTCCAACGACCCAAACGCGTATGGGTCGTG